TCTGCAGTAAAATTCGGAACGTCGTGGGTTCGACTCCTGCGGGGAAAACTCGCAGTGTTCTCTGATGATGTTTGTGTCATTCATTAAATAACATCTTCCTTCCCTTAAATCACAATGTTTTAAATTCATCATCTTCATTTACATTGTCAGTGTGCATTCCTGTCCTCGTGGTATGAACACGAACTAGTTGAACAGACTGTCTTTCACAGAATGACAGTTTCCCGCTCCACTTTAATAACCAAGCTTAAACAATTTGTTCGTTTATAAAACGCTTAACAGAGTTTTGTCTCGCCAATTCTCTGCAATTTCCTTGAACTTGGACATCTCTACCGAAAATTAAAAAATCGAGCAAGAAAAAGTGTTTAATTAGACTTCAGTTTTCAGTGGAAGAAAGACAAGATTTACACACGCCATTGCAACAAACAAACTAGCAGACTTTCACAACTTAAAAATATACATTTGGATTTATTTACAATTGGACTTTCCTTGAAATTTGAAACTGGACAGAGGTAAATCTCCGAAGATCAGTCGTCATTGGAAATTAATAATACTTTCCGTGAGACCTTTGAGAGCGTTTCTTAAGAAAAAAAAACGTCGTTGCAGACATTTAGCTCGAGTACGTTTGCCATACCAGCACTGTTGTTCATTCAAAAACATTTGCATAAACTTTTTTTCTTATGCTTTCTTTACTAGACAGGTCGTGGTAGATTCATCATGCAAATAAAAAATGTTTCGGAGGTGCCTCTCCTATAAATTTGAATAACCCCTGTATTCCTTATTATTTACTCGCTTAAAAATCGTTCAGTTTATGGAGGATCTTCCCATAATTACATTCCAAACTCATTCGGGTTCTTTTGGCGAGCATTTCGTTAGGTGTTCAAAAAAAGAAAAGAAATAAAAAATGGTATTCACCTGCTTGGGTCGGTCTATATGGGGAGAAACTGAGAGGTATCCAAGACCTTGGGCACAGTTTTTCCCAAAACGGACCTCCCGTATGGTAAATAACAAATACTTCCTGCATTTGAGTCACCAGGCCTAACATAATCTAACATTCTAACATTATTTGTTTACATCATCACTGCGCACATGCATCACTTATCGACATTCCGATACTCGCAGAATGCAGGAAGTTTGTCACCATCGAACTAGTTGAACGGTCTAGCTTGCCACGATTTTTCTAAAGCTCAGTAGTAAAGCGTCCGAAGCACTAATCGGAAGGTCGTAGGTTTGAATCCTATTGGAAGCATTGGGATTATTCTTTTTTCTTTGAGTATTAATATGTCATTTACATTTCTTGACATAACTCACACAACCTTTTCTGATCTCATCCTTAATGTCATCATAAAGACTTTTGTCTACTTGCATGACTCCTGTTTCTGTCACCCTCTCTAATTGCGGACCGATACTCACGGTCTTAAAATAAGTGAGGAGAATTTACTACCTTTCTATAATCAAAAAATGGATAGATATTCTAGTCTTCTCGGATAAGGACGAATAAACCGTAGGCCCCGTCTCCTGCAGGGTTAGGGGTAGGAGACGTTAATTTCCCACGCACGAGATTACTGTGTAGTGGATGTCCTCCCCTAGGGTGGGATGGGTGGGAATTGGCCCTGAAAAGCCCCCATGGGAAGTGGTCAACTAACATATGTATGTATTTATCAACGTCTGGAAGTTGGACACCTTTTCACAGCACCGATTTGTCTCATTTTAGAATTATAGCTTGACACAACTCAATTTGCAATTTCTATCATTGCTATTATCACTATTATTGATGCACAACTGTAAACAAGTGTTGAGGCCCTTAGAAATTCTGTGTCTAGGGCATCATTTGAGAATTCCCTCCCCCCCCCAGACTTTTATGCTGTGAATAATGTTAATCAGTCAAACTAACATGAAATGACAAACATTTATGGATAAATTGAATAATTTGGTAGGTCAGAAAAGTTATAATCTACGGCGAATAGGTTTTTTTACCTTCAACGCAGTAGACGTTTACTTAACAGACGGACAGGAGGAATCACTGGCGCTATTTAACAGACTTTCTCTCAGCGACATTGCTATCACATTTTTTTTTATCGCAACAAAGACAGAAAGAGAAAATTTGGTTCATAGTCAATATCTGTGATAGGCTTCATGCAATGTCCAGGAATCTTTGAGCTAACTATATGTCGGACGAAATCGTCGAATTTCTTGCAAAAATTGATATCAGTTTCGCTGCAGTGAAGGAGATTTAATTTAAGTTTTGGCTCAAGGATCGAATAATGAATTCTTACCAACTTTTCTGAGGTGCAACAGGACTTTAAGGTTTTCATTGCATAGTTCGTTTGTCATTTGATACAAACATTTGTCATTATTCCAAGGAATTAAATGGAACAAAGTTTTTTTTAGGGAAGGGGAGGAGAAACCATTGGTAGCTTACGTTTGTGCCTTCATTTTTGAGCCTCCTTCCACATTCCATCACTTGAAATCGTTTAAAATTCTCTATGTAATAATCAAGGTCGAGACAAAGGAGACAGAGGATCCTGATTCGTGGACGAAAATAAATTTCTCTACCTGTAAAAAAACAACCGACGATTTTCCTCGTTAAGGCGTTTAGCTTTCAGAGAGTCGGCTTTACGTTACTTACAGCCTCTCCGAGGTTAGGTGGCACATAAGACTACGGCTTGACTTTGAAATTATCAGTTTTGAGCTGCAACTTTTGGTTTATAGCGAAACAATTCCACTCATTTTATAGTGTGGCATTTTTACGGAAATGAACCTCTACTGTTTATAAAACAAAGTGGTCAACGGGTCACCGACATCAACCCCTTAGTGTGACAAAACCTGTCTTTCAGAAAAGGGGCGCCAGCAATAAAGCCAACACTCACTCTGGTAAGTTATTCAGCCCTGTCAGTCGCAGAAATCAAAAGGATAACGCATGCCAACCATCTCCTGATCTTACATTTCGGTACTGAAACAATAACGACGGAAAAATTCGAAAATGTTCAGGCCGAAGAGCCGGTCACACTTACAAACCGAACACTCAATCCACAGAATGAGGCCAACGTCTGGTGCGGCAATCATCATTTTCACTTGAGGCACAATTTTGAGACATGAAGTAAAGTTCGCAGAGCTAAACAGTTTTGATGGATGGCGACCATTTGCCATCTTTCAAATTGGAAATAATTGATTGACTGCTTTCGTTGTTGTCCGCTGTTGTCTAAAACGATAAAACATAGCATTTTGGCGGCAATAAACTGTGCATTATGTTTGACTAGATTTAACTTCCTACAGACAGGCCTTCCATGCCCATATAAAGTAGAGCTTTGTGAAGATGTAAAGCTCGAATGAGATTAGGGTTTTTCTGTTTTTTTTTTTTTTTTACCGGACGCTGATTTCGTCTCTACAGACATCGATATCTGACCACTGTCAATTAGAACAGTTACTGAGAACATCGTTTGGACAATGAAATATGCACTTTTCTTATTTTTCATAGTTGGCAACAGAACCACACCAGTGTTCTTAAGTGAAAAGAGTAGAGGAGAGCAAATTCAATTAGACTGTTAAAGTGATAAAGACGTATTCGACGAATATTTAAGAAGCGCAAATTAACGATATTAGACCCTATGATCACCATTAGCTCAATGCGTCTCCATTTTTGCAGTAAGGGTGATAAGTGCAGTTGTTGCGCCAACCAAAGCAATATCATTAATGATTTGACAAGTGAAGGGAAATTAAAACATTTACAAAGAACTAATTTAGTCATACATTTGATTAACGTTTTCATTGTGTGTTTGCTTTTTTGTGAAGACTAATGGCATCACCAGATTATGATAAGTTGAGGTGGGTTTTAGCAGAATAAAAGTAATGAAATGTGTAATGGTTCTTCGATACTTGTATTGTTTCATGGCCCATATTGTTTCATTTAGTTCCAGAAAGGGTTGAGCGAGTGGAATTTAAAGTCGTACAGTATGCAATTCAACGGCACCATTAACCATGAAAATGAACTGGATTTGTGAATTGATTTTTTGTACGTAGTACTCCCTTACTGAAATGCACACATGCATAAATGTATAAGAGCTTTCAGTCAACAGATCACGCCTTCTTTTAACACGGTCTATGACAAGTTATAATTGGTCATACTAATCTCAACTGTTTATCTGTAGTGAAAAAAAAAAAAAAGAATAAATACAGTTGTTTCAAGGACTCCCATTTACAAATGGAATTTTCTTAGCATCAGAATTTATTAAAGTTTAAACAGACCGGTTGGACAATGAATAGAAATGAAACAACACTAAAATTATATTCGGTCGGTATTTATTAAGGGCTCAGATAAAACTTCCACAGCATGTGTAGTTTATTTGAAAATAAATGAATTGGCATTGTGGGTGAAAACTCCACATGGTGGCAGTGAATGGAGTAGCTGAATTCCCGCTTGGAGCGGGTATATGAAGCTTAAATTAAAAACTATGTTCTACTGCTGTGATGTTGTGTGAGTTAAAGTAGACATCATATATTGTTAATCATCAGTGCAAAAAAGGTAATTACTTGTAGTATTCCTTGTCATGGTTAGCATCTAAAGAATGCAAAATAGATCGTTTGCCCTGAAGGCACGGCGGCTTATTTTCATACCATGCGTGGGATAGGAGAAAAACAAAGTTCAAAAAGCAACTTAACCTCATAATTCAAATAACTTTGTTTACTTATGCAAAAACTTGACCAACATTCTAAAGCTTTTCAAAAGCTAATAATAAATTATTATTTCGTCCCGTAGACGTGGTTTGTCACTGGTAATCAATGTCTGAAAGAAATGCGCTTTCTAAGCAAAAGGATTTAAACGGCGATAAATGTTATCTTCTATTCTTTGACGCCGAAAGTTTACTGACAATAGAAAAAGGGTTTGTTCAAGAGAACAAAAGAAGGGACCTCCTGATTTCCGCGTACCGCTGAGAATCAAAGGCAGCTTTTTTTCTTCTTTAAACTCCAGGGGTGCGGTGGTTTAGCTCGACCGCATGGCCCGAAATCACATCCGAGGGTGGCAGACATAACCGGCACCTGGTTGTGACTGCTATCCTAACCATTAAAATCTGTTATCGGGAGACGATGTGAGAGCCCTCGATCAACGATATTGACCAAACTTAGTAGAATCTTGGCTGGAAAGCAAAATGTGTCATTCACGTCTAGAAGTCACGGGCTATAAACATGCTGTGTATACTTAAGCCCCAAGCCCTTTATTTGTAAACATATGCTTTGATAGTAAGAGATGTATGCGACCTGTCCGTTAATCTGGGCTCGCAAACTTCATTATATGTGTTTTTTGGATTGAAATTAATGTAACGAGCTAGATCCTGATCAAATCATTTTTCGCAAGCTGCATTACATTTATTCAAACGATTAAGAGTGATACAGCCTTAAGCAATAACATTGAGCTTGAACTTTTATCTGCTTCGTCCCCATTTGTACACACAATCTTGAAAGAACTTTAAACACTTTAAGGATAACCCTAATTAAATCTTTTTGACCCATTCTTTTCATTATTTGAGAACAAGAAATATTCCGTTAACTTTTACATATTTAGTCTCGCCGAGATATGCCTTAACAATGGAAGTACAAAATTGTCACCTTGTTTCCAGAACGTCCTATAGAGGTAACCCAAATAGCCTTGTTCGTTATAATTAAGTTGTCTTTTCCTCAAATTTGATATGGGGTTTGATAGAAGCTTGTGTAACCACCCCTACTTTAAAAATTTATTTTCAAAATACATAAATTTGTAACCATAGCTTTGTACAGGACATATATTTCAGACTGGATGACATGGTTGAATCGTATAGACTACTTAGCTTGTGTAGTCAAGGATTCCTCTCCTTCATAAGTTCTTCATCTTGTTTCTACAGTTATTCGTCTAACCATCAGTTTGATCTCCCCTTCTCTCTAACTTTGCTAAAGTCTCAAATAAGGATGGAATTGCTTGGAGCCCTCACAAAGGTTACACTGGGTGCAGTTTAGATTTTGGTAATAAGGCAGGAATGGTAACTGCGAGTGAACAAACAATGAATCTGTTGAGGTTGGAGGACTATAATATTGGAAGGGGAATCCAAAAGGAGTAATCCCCGGCACTTTGTGTGGCTCAAGACTTGAAAAACTCAATTGTGACATCAAGGACGTTGAACCAAATCTATTGTGGAGATCCAAGGGAGAGGAGAAAGCGTGCCTTCCCGTTTCCACAACAGGGATAGACTTCGCCTCGATCCTGTTGGGATCTTGTCTTTTAAACCTGGTCTTCCTTCGAAGAAAACTACCATTTTCAAACATATTATAACTCTCTGGATCCAGGGTCCAGTAGTTTCCTTTAAGTGGCTCATCAGATTTTATTCCAGTCTTGATGAAACAATCATTGAGAGAAAGGTTGTTGCGGATACAAATTTTCCACGATGGATAGGTATCACGATAAAAGGGAAACCTGTCTCTGATGAACTTGCATATACCATCCAGAGTCAATCTCTTCTCAGAAGAGTTTTGGATCGCCATTGCAATCAGTGCAATATAAGAGTAAGGAGGTCTTCGTCGGGATTTGCGGTGGGTACGTGTTTTCTTGTTATCCGTGTTTGATTCACTCTGAAGGTTATTACGGTGTGGGTTGCGGTTATTGTCATCGCATTCCGAATTGCTTCCTGATCTGTTGCCATCACCAGATTCTTGCTTTCTGGCTGCTGATAGTCCTTGATCAGTTTCTGATGGCATTGAATCTTCAGGTTGAAGAGGGCGTTTCTGAGGTTGTCCTCTAAAATTATCCATTGCGACACGTAGCGGCGATGCTTTCTTGAATTGGTCGTCAGTTTACTTCTTGAACTGTTTCTCTCCTTTTCCTCACTTCCTCCCAGGTGTAGTGAAATGTCCTAACGGTAGATGATAGGGAGATAGGTCTTCATTCAAAGCTTCTTTCACGAGCTCTGGTAAAAATGGAAAGCATGTGTATAAACAATGATGAACAACTTTCACACAGGTGCAAATGGCGCTTGGCTAAATCACACATATAATGCAGTGTTTTGTGCGTGAACATCCACTTGATAATAGAATAACAATGACCTTGGCTTACCTTTGCTGACACTTTGCCACAAAGCTTTAGAAGGTAATTGAGCTTTAATTAATCTCGCTTTGAAGATGAACGTACACAGGAAATAAGTTTAGCCTGAAATTAGTCCGAAATTTTACTCACGTTCTCTACCTCCTGCAGACATGTGCAAACTGCTTGCTGCTTTGGCGGGCAAAATAACTTCTCTCTACCTAGAGTGATTGTATTCGATAAAAAAACCCAGGGGCAATTTCTTTTTAATTGCGAGCGTGTAACAAATGTTCATGTAGAGTGGAAGCCTGCATTGAACAACTAAGAACAACACCTATTGTATGCAATTGAATAGCGTTTATTAGCATCTTTGGCAATGGCACTTGACAATAAGTTGATTATTACGAAGTTTTGCTGTTTTACCAAAATATTATTTGTTATCTGATTTTGTGTTCTCTGACAGCTGACGGCTCTATCCTGAGCAAGTACGACGTCATGAGGACAAAGAGCTCACCGATCGAGGAACTTTTCTTATATTTCGCGTAGCTTTCTGAATAATTCTAGGGATTTTTTTCGAGTGTGTTGATACTAACTTGTGAATTTCCAACGAAGGGATAAAAGTGATTGTACGGAATGGCTGACTAATTAACGCTAGAAACTGACGTATTAGGGTCCACAAGTTGTTACTTTAAGAGCGTATTTTACGCTTAAAAATTTATCGAACAGTTAAAACAGCATACCCATGTTCGCTCTTCAGCAACTAAAGAATTATTGATCCTAACCCAAATGCATCAACGTTCTCATTTCTTTAATCTTTGATTCAAAAATTCGTTCGAGTTGGTAGAAATTTCAAAAGCAATGTTTTTAGTTCCTTACCAGCAGTAGTTTAATTGTATGAAGTGGTTTAATGGATTAACCTGACCACAGGGGTCAATTTTTGAAACGCTTCAGTGTTTTTTTTTCATTATACTCAGACACAATAAAGACACGTAGTAGTTTGTCGAATAAAATAAATGAGGGCCAAAAAATATGGAATTAAATAGGAATACCGTTGAAAGGTCAAAGAATATTGGTTAGACGCACTATACTGACTCTTTTAAGGAGATGTTGTGGTGGCTAATAATTCCGTTTCTTCTGACTGGATTTTTTCATTTCGTTTTCTGAAAGAAACAAAAGCTGTGAACAACAAAAACGGTTAATCTAAATTTACTTTAGTTGGAAAGAATGGCTGGGGTGTTTACGCACAATTATCGCTATTCTTTCAAAAGTATTCATCTTTCTTGCCATTATCATTTGAATGTAGAAAATGAAATCGTATTTAAGAATCAAAGTCCATTACCACAGGTTTGGTTAGTTCCATTTTGACAGTTGTCGAATTTGACTATTGTTTGCATTGAAGTGACCTGCCTTTGTTGCACACCATAAAAATAAAAGGAAACTGTCCGGTTTATTTGGCACTTTAATCGTCCCAATGGAGGTGTTCGATAACATTATCTTAGTCAGTCGAAGCCAGAAAGAATCTCTCAACCAATATTCATAAATATTTCGGTACAAATACAAGAAAAATGTGCCAGCAATACAGCTCCACCTGAAAATCAGAAATTGCAAAACAGGTGCTAAGGTATTATAGTCTTTGTCTTCACATCTAATTTTTCCAGCTGCACTTTGGAATATTTATGGTTTCATCTCTCTTTCATATAAATTTCACACAGTCTAACAAAAAGATGAACCAGAGACACCCCTGAAATAAAATTTAGATTTGTGGATCAAACCACGCGACTATTTAAAGAAATGGTGATTGTTAACTCGGATTAAGTGAAGGAACTTTTATAATCTTAGCAAATCTCTCACCGCAAAATAACCAAAAGAAATCGTTACTTTGCGCAGGAAAAGGAGTGCGTCTTCAATCTGATTTAGGAAACACACACGAATCGGTGTTTCTTGATTAGAGACCACGATATTACTATGCGTGATAATATTACTTAAGCGTGGTATCCAGCAGAGTTGGTGAATAATAAGGGACTTACATCAATTGCAGCACGCTGTGGCTGTTTTTACTGCCCTAGGATAAGAAGGAAAACAGGCGATGACGTGCTTCGTTAAATATCGGTTTTTGCTTAAATGGTCACAGATTTATAAAGTTAATGCTGTGTGGTCAGTCACCGTCAGATCACAAACTTCGATACATTTATAAAAAGCTTTAAACTATGAAATAATTCCTGTCGATAATACTTAAAAAATTTCTTTCTTTTCCTCTCCTTTTTTCTTCTTCTTTTTTTTCCGAGAAACTTACCCAAAGAGGGGCTGGGGGTGGGTTGGGTGAGACACTTACACCTTTCACTAACCTGAATATGCCACTAGATACACTGCAGCACTTGTTTTACAAAACTTGCATTTTACCGAGAGCATTTTTGTTACTACTGAGTTGCTTGCAGCATTTACATCAGGTGGCGAAAAACGAGGATAAACCAATTTCCATTCTAAAGCGGCAACACCAACCCCTGAAACTCAACGTAAAAATAAAATTGAAACTTCAGTATCAGACAAATAGACCCTTTTCCCAGCTTGAAAAGACAACAAATAAAAGAATTTGAGACCTACTAAACTGATCCGAAATGAGCCCAGACTAAAACTCTATGGAGATTTGAGATACTAAGGGGTGCGTTTGCGGCAATTTGGGCCGGTTTGCGTGACTTTTTCTTCTTCGAAAAGTAATGACGATGTGCTATTATTACAAAAGAAAGCTTTGAATGATTAAAACTCCTAACACGGAATATGACATCAGGATGATGTTAGAACCTTGAATTACCAATATTTATGTGCTGTGCTTGTACTGTGTACATTTCTAGTACCGATCGATTAGTCCTGAAAGTCCGATTTATTTTCTCTGGTGTTTGTTATTTATGATTTAGAGCCAATTTCATGAACTCTCGAATAGTTGTGTTTACGATATCAGTTGGTCTATCCTTCAAACGGTCTGAACAATCGAGATCCGTGATTTTAAACGGACCCAACAATTTTCATGCATTTCGTGCTGGCACAATTAGAGTGTTCCCAACAAACTCGCAATCAAACCTAACTTTTTGACTCGCTGAAGCAGCACATTTTGTTGAGTTGCTTAAACTCTTCCTTATACTTTAGGATTTTTTCGCATGGAAAAGTTACACGACTCGAATTTTTATTTACTACGTAATGAATCGATTAGTCTGCTTTCGCCGCATCCCCGATGTATATGAGTTGTGACGAAATCTCATTTATGCTGTGTATCATTTTTTAGCTCTATTCTTTGTGTGTATTTGTTCGACAAACGATTTGAGATGCAATTTTGGGTGAGAAGGAAACGCGATCGCGAAGCACCCCACTTCATTGATACCAAATGACTCATGAATCGAGTAAAATTAATACCGATGTTGGTTGCTTTCCCAATAAAGAAGAGGCAGAAATGAAAGGGCACGAAATGCTCCAAGCATTTCAAAGGTTTTGGATTATCAGGTCACGGTTACCCAAACAATGGCAAGTAAGAATAGTGTGGTTGATGTGGTGGTTGATGGCCTGGTGTGGGTGGTGGCTTAGCTCGGTTTCGTCTGATAAAGTTGGTGTAATTTGATTACGTTCGATGAAGGTTGGTGTGGCTGGAGTAGCTTAGTGTGATTTAGACTAGTTTCTGAAGTTAATGTAGCAAGTGGATCTCTATGTAGTTGTTGAAGTCGCTGTACCATATAGTTCTGTGTAGTTGGTGTTTTGGGATTAACGTCCTGTACCAATGTGTAGGTGTAGCTTGGCATAGCTCATTAGGCCGATCTACACCTATACGCAGTTTGGTGTGACTCAGTGCGGTTTGGAATAATTCCCTGTACCAATGAGGCCCAATTACTCCTAGGTGTAGTTTGGATTAGCTCCTGTGTGAACTTCTCCGAACCAGTCCATTGTGTAAATTGGTGTTGCTTGGTGTGCCTACACGTAGTTTGGTTTAGTTCAGTGCAGTTTGGTGTGTCAACTACACCGCAGTACATCTAGGTGTAGTTTGGTGCAGTTCAGCGTAGTTTTTGTATAGTTTAGTGTACCATTTACCCCAAGCCACGCCCGGGTGAGCTCCCCTGAAGCACGCCAAAGTAAACCAGACTACCACTACGCCGATCAACACTTAGGAGTAATTAGATGTAGCCGATACACCGAGCAACATCGAACAACACCAAACTTCACCAAACTACTGAAAAATGCTTAACTACATCAAAACTACCTTAAACCTTTAATGGGGGAGAGCTTTTAATCAATGTCGTCTCTGAAAATTGCTCTACAAGACTAGAATATGCTTCAAAAACACTCTTCCGAGAGAAGACGATTTCAGAATTGTACTTCACAGACTATTGTCCCTTAATATTTCACTAAAATTCATATTGTTGACATTCGTAGAGTCGATCGATCAATCAAATTCCTGCTTTCAAGGGAAATATGGTATCAAACTCAGAGGGTGACTTTTGCCGATTTATAGCGATTTAAAACAAAATCATTTTCACGATTGCCAAGATGCTAAGGGTCAATTGATCAGCCGTGAGTAAACACCAAATCCTTAATTTTGGGCTCACATTAAAAGAGAAGAGACAAAGAAAATCATTGTTAAGTAAAAAAAGGTGTAAATTGCTTCAGGAAGGCAGATAATTGAAGAAAATTATGAGGATAACCTCTATTTCTTGCGAGAACGAGAAACCTTTCACGAACGCCAAGATCTTCTTTTAGCGACTTATAGAAAGCTTGAAACTAAGCGTGCGTTTAAGAAAGATAAAAAAGTCCCTCACTATCATCTCCTATCCCAAGATGACAGCATTACAAATAACAGGGCAGGGCTGATCGAAGGTCCAGAAAAGAGATGTCGAAGTCATATTGAAAACAGTAGCACTCTAGTGATAGTTTGCTCCTGGACTGTGAAAAGGTCGCTAACCTTCTTCAAGCGTTCACGTGTTGCGAACTTTCGAACTGTTTCAGGTACGTTGGACCTTTAGATTATATATTTTTTACGTCTCATAAGTCCTGAGGTCCCCAGTTATGTCAGGTTAGCGATTCTAAAGAGTTAAGTTATATTATTTTTTGGTTTTTTATCTTCTGTGTGACCATGTCCTCGTCCTTACCTCCGATCCTTGTTGTGTGGTATTGTCGTTTGCTTTGCTAGCGTCCCTACTTTCCTTGTTTTTGGTCACTCTTTCGTCATCTCGTTTTCATCCTCGTAGGGACCTGAATTTCAATCTCTCAGACGCCAA